CCGGACTGGCCCGAGGCCCCAGCACTTAGGGCCGGGGCCACAGGAGGCTGGCATCGAGCAGCCCGTGGGTGGAGACAGGGCATTTCCCTGCCATGGGGTACAGATGCCCACTCACCGACCACCACCATGAACAGTGGGCTCATTCCCTGGATCTCGTCCTGAGGAGGCCTCGGTGCCCGTCCCTCAGGGGCAGCCAGACCGCCCCACAGATCCTGTGCATCGGGGCTGCGGGTTCCATGACCGCCGGCAGGGCTCTGTATGTGCAACGCTCGCCCAGCCCCTGCGTCCAGGCAGTGTCACCTGAGCCCTGCGCTGGCTGGGACAGAGCAGCCTCAGGTGGCTTCTGGGCTCCCTGATGGGACAGAAGTCCTGTGCCTTGGTGCGGGCACAGTGCCCAGGCTTTGATGCTCTTCCCAGGGTTTCCTGAAGTACATTCCCACATGAATGAGGGGTCCTGGTGGCTTGGAGTTGGGCCGAGCAGGACTTTTCATGAGATGGCAAGTCCAGCGGTCATAGAAGTGCCGAAGGTGCCCAGGAAAGGGACCTCCCTGAGAATGGGCCGGGTGTCAGAGGGTGTCTCCAGGATGCAGGGGGCTCTTAGGGCAGCAGCCTTGGCCGGCAGGGCTGTCCAGCCCGTGGTCCTGCCTGCGGTTACCTGCAGGTCCTCTCTCGCACAGGTGTTCCAGAGCGAGGTGGAGAGGACCATCAGGTGCTCCGTGTGTCACAGCAAGGAGCGTGTCCCGTCCGGAGGCAGGATGCTGTTCCTCCCCCTGGCCGCCCACATGCAGCTCTGTGGTTTCGAGGGGGCTGGACAGGGACCTGGCAAGCCGGCCAAAGCATCTGGTGGAGCCGCCACGGTACTGTGGTCCTTCCAGAGCCCTGCTAGGGGGGAGTCCCTGAATCACCTGGGCTAGGGGCGCGTCCTTCACTCACGCTTTTGACCCGCCCGAGCGTATGAGGCCCCGTTCCTGCCGGGCTCTGTGCTGGGTACCACCGGTGCAGAGCTGCCTGGATCGTGACCCCTGCCCTCGTGGGTCCAGCACAGACCCAGCTGGTCTGGTCACGACAGGAGCCTGGGCTGGCGTGTGGGGGCACACGTGGGTGGGGCTTGGGCCTCAGGTCTTCCTGGGCAAGGGGCCCCGGACAGTTCTGGAGTCTAGAACGAGGACGGGAGCTCTCCAGACAGGCAGGGGCGAGGGCGCTGAGGAGGCGGGTGTGGAGGGGCAGGGCCTTGCGGTCTAACAGGGCTTTCCCTGCAAGAAGAACAGCGCTGAGCAAGGCTGTCTCGGTGGGATTCAGTGGGACTCAGGAGTGAGTTTGTGAGAGGTGGGAGGGCAGGTGAAGGTCTGCAGAGAGCTGAGACATGGAGGCAGGGACTGGGCGGGCCGGGCCTAGCAGCGCCTCCTCCGTCAGACCGTGAGTCTCAAATTCACCCGAGCCCGGCAGGAGCCTCCTGAGGTTGCAGAAGTCCCACGTCCCGTTTGTAGATTGAAGTGGCTTTGGCAATAGCTCAACGGGACTGAGACTCCTTCGAGAACCTGCTGACTCCAGAGCTGGGGCTGGGGGAGGACGTGGCAGAGGGCACTGGACACAGCTCAAAAGGAGCCAAACTGGGGAGAAGTTAAACACCGAAAGAATGATGAATATGGGATTTTCATTTCACTAATTAAGCACGTGCGTGAATCTGGAGTCATAGTAAATAAGGAGAGCGGGTCTCATCCCTGCAGGAGGTCAGGGGATGAGTGCAGCGTGACAGGTGCTGATGTGACACTACATCAGCAGGTGTCAGCGGGTGCTGAGCCCCGGGTGAAGGGCTCAGCCGAGCAGGACATCTACACAACCCAACCCATGACCCCAGATTTCTTATGGGCTATAAAGGGGAGAATGTTCTTTACAAATGGAGAAATCTGGTGGACATCACGTGGATCACTCAATCAAAGTTAGTGTCAC